CACTAGCATTACAGAGTGAGGAGATCGCTCTCTAAAACTTACTCTTAGGAAGACTTCCAGGCAAGTCCTTTTGCACTGATTCGCTTAGGTAGAGGGGGATGGGGTAGGGTGTCCGCCTAGAAAGGGATGTGTTGCAGGTCCTGCGAACATACCCAGTGAAAGGGCAAAACCGGTGAATTCCTTTGAAAGTACAAGACATTACAAAATTGTCCTGAGAGATTTGAAAAAAAAGTGAGCAAAATAGGTCGAGAAAGGTGGGGAAACGGTGTGAGGAGAGGATTATGACATTAAGGGAAATGAAACTTTCAGAAGCAGTTCATCCTTTCAGCAGAAAGGGAATTCGCCACGCATCAAAGCTGCTTTCTCAATGACTTGCCAAAAATCATCATGCCCTAGCTCACAATTGCTTTCTGCACTAAATTCGGTCCAACATTAAAAAAACACCGCGTCAATGGCGTCTATGTGGAGCTGGTGCCTTTTCATTCCTTTGCAAGATCTAACAGATTGTCAGAGATGTTGGTAGGAAATTACAAAATACCCTCCCACTCCCTCCTAAACAAACTTGCGCACATAAGGGCATCTAGTTGAACCCACCTCAGCAAATTCAGCTTTCATCAGAATAATCTTCCATTCATGCGCGGATGGGGAAGACGGCTCTTCCCGGTCTAGTTCATATTCACCATCGCCGTTGACTTCCGTCGTTCCTTCTCCATCACACTCCCTGTCACCTTCGTTTTCACTGCCGCTGTCACCTTCACTGGTCGCGTCCTGCAACACGAATATTTTAGAATGAAAGCAAGTATAAAGCGAAGAGACTGAGAATAGCATATCTACATGCTTCAATTACTAAAAGCTAGTTCCTGTTTAGAGTTTAGAACTTGGCAGTGTCTGATATTTGATGATTCTCAACAAATCCGAACCAAGAACGTCTAAAAAATCCGGAAACAATGGGACTAGTCTAACGAGGAACTCAAAGGTCCGCAAAGTTCAACTGCTTAATTGGGAAAATCTCGGCATTGGTGTTTTATTACGATAACTCTTGTTTAACGCCACAGTTTTCGTTGCAAAAGTTATTAGGCCGCATTCTCATCTCAATGGCTTAGAGTCACTGAGCTGACCATGAGAGGGTAAGAACTGCCCTGATGGTGTAATGGATAACGCACTCGCCCAAAAAAAAGTGAGGTGCGGATTCGACTCCCACCTGGGGTCAAGCCTATTGCCGTAATTCAGCGTACTCGCGACTCAGCATCATTGTGACCACTAATGGTTTTCCTTTTTATTATGTACAGGACTACGGACGATATTATCTTAACAATTCTATTATGAAAAGATGCAAAAAAACTTCATTCACACAATTGTCAGAGGGTTGATACACTGTTTTCCAAACTAGTGGAGAGTGGAAGGGGGGGGGTCGTAGCCTTTTTTCTAGTTATTCTCCATATCTTAACTGTTGCGATAAAGTTATTGGTCTACTAGACTGTTTAGACTGACGGAACAACACTTCTAATTTCAAGATGGGCAGTGTACTGAAGATAATACGATCAAGACAGTGTTAGAGAGTTACTCCAGCTCCCATTGAACTTTCCTCAGCTCTCCATTAACTCATTAACTTC